TACCTCTCATTCCACAAATAAATTGCAAATTTAGGGTAATTTGCGTGTTTCACTTTTCAAAAAGGGTCAATAAAATTACATTTGGAGCATTTTACAATCACATTAGAAGCCAATCATAGATTCTTCCTGTAAGTACAAATTTTTCTCAAAACAATTGGGGAAACACAAATAAGAAAATACACTTCTCAAAATATTCAAATCAAATATTATGTTACATATTAATACTCCATTTAACCACTCTTTGTTTTTTCACAAAAATCCTTATAAATTAATTAATTCTTTTCATTAATTTTGAACATTTGTTACTCTCCTACTGTTTTTATAAATCTGTTACCAGCAAACTTGCGTTTTCGAGAAGTTTATGTGATTCATTTGTTAACCGTTATAAGTAGATAATTTCAAAAGAATGTTCAAAAAGAATTAACGATTAAACATTCTATAATTGAAAAGAAAATCCAAGTGTTTAGAAGAAATTTAAGAGCAAAATTGTTAAGGCGTAAACCAAAACCAAAACATGGGTGATCAGAAGAAGCAAGTGCTGCCAATCGCTAAAGTCTATTTAAAAGATTGAAATTGTTGCCAATCAATAAAATAGTTAAACAAAAATATCAGAAATTGTTTTTAAATTTACCATGAGTTGAAACTGCTAAAATTAGTGGTAAAAAGCCCGTTGAGAAGTCAATTTCCGATATCGATTTCACCTATTCCCGTTTCTTCTAATAGCATTAATAATATTTTAAACATTTGTAACTTTTTATAATTATCATACAGGAAAAACAAAGATAGATTTGGAAAGCTAATCGTTTGAATTCTAAAAACAAAATGTGATTTTTGACCGAAGAGGTTTTCAACATAGTCCGGTACCTTACATTTTGTAGATAAGAAAAAAAAATCATATTTAGGTAAAAGATTTATTTCATATTGACGCAGAATTGTAATCCGTTTTAATACAGAATCACTTACTAGTGACCTTAACACCTCATTAAATAATTCACGTTTTACATATAGCTATTTTCCATAGTTAAATAAAAATTTCAGTTTTCATTTGAAAATTATTTTTCCATTTCTTTGTTTTGTAATATAGTAGGGACAACTTTTATTTTAGTGTGCATTTTTTCCATAAAAATAAAGCAGTCAAATTTAGCAATAGTATTTATTAATAGCATAACAATATAAATTGAATAACATGTTAGAATATACTTAGTTATACTCAGATTAGTTAGTTATACTTAAAAAAAATTACATTTCTTTTTTTTTTTCAACATAAGATTTAAATGGTGTATTTGACTATATTTTTAAAATTTATTGGATGCCTACCTAAAATCATATACTTTCGAAATAAAAATGTTAATGTAAAATAATTTTCTATGTATGTGACTACCTTTGGAGTACTTTTTATGAAATATATAAATTTTCGGCTAAATAAACACTTTTTTATTTGAATTGGGACATAAAACTAGGAATTCAAGTACAATTTCCGCAAAACTAAAAATAATTTTGGATACATTAGGAATTTTGAATGAATATTTAGTGAAAAATTGCAGTTACGGTAAGGCTTGATTCCAATACGGTGCGGTAAATTCTAGTCAATGTATTTAAATAATATGTATACAGCGCATAAATAACATCATTATCTGTGCTATAAAATTTGTAATACTTTTGAAAGTTTTTGAAGTATGTCACTTTTTTATGCAAGAACTAATTTTTTTACAAGTAACTAAAGTCATTTTCTCACAAAAAGTGCAATAAAATACTTAAATATATACACATATATTAGATAAAAGTCTAGACTGCAGATAAAACTAAATAAACATTTTCTGCAAATTCCAATTCAATATCTTAAAAAGAAAACCTGTAGTAAAATTTACACGAGAAGCAAAAAATAGAAAAACATAGTTTCTCAGAAAAGGCATTTTTTTAAAGATTTTAATACAGTATAAAAAAATTTTTAATTGGATATTTTTTAAACAACATATTTATAGGTCAAGCTATCTTTAGCTTCGTTTTAACTAGTTCTGACTTTTCTTTAGCTTTTGCTATTTTTTGGAGTGTTTTATAAACTATAACAACTGTCGTTTTTAGTGAAATTTTGATGAAAAATTGCAGTTACACAAAATTCTGACAAATATATTCAAATAATATTTATATAGTACGTGAATAAAATCTTTAGATGTGTTAGAAATTAAAAGCTTTGTAATACTTTTGAAAGTTATTTAAATATGCCAATTTTTTAATATGCAAAAACACAATTTTTTAAAAATTTAATAATTTGTTTTTCACAAAAAAACAATAAAGTACATAAATATATTCACAGAGACTGGAGTTATATTCATAACACAGATAGTACTAAATCAAACATGTTTTGAATATTTCAATTCAATTTCATAAAAGAAATATTTTGTGCTGGGATCTACTTCCGGTTTTGTTAACTCCATTTCCAGTTTACTAACTATGCTAAAACTTTGCTTCTAACTATCGTAGAAACAAAAATAGAGAGTTTTTGGAATCTTAAAAGTATGGACTATAAAATAAAAGCATTTAAAAGGTTTCGAAAATTGTCACCAAAATGGCGAATTTCGGGTAGTCATATATCTTAGTTTCAGCAATGCATTGTTCAAAATAAAGCAAAGTTTTTAAGCAGAAATAAACGTCTATGTTTAAGGTATCCGACTACTTGCGACAACTTTTTTTTGAAAAAAAGGAAATATGAAGATCTTTTTTGTGATTTTTATATTTATATAGTATATTTTAAGGAAAAAATCCTAAAATTGGTAAAAGAAAAAATTATTATTATTAAAATGGGAAAAACTAGTAAAAATGTACGAAAAATTACATAAACGGGGCCCGCTCTCTACAAAGATTTTATGAACAAATTCTCAATTTTTCAATTTTGATGTGTTACTTTGTTATTCCTGTTTGAAGTGATCTTCACGATAAGAAATATTTTAATTTTTACAAAAACTAGAGCACTTTATCTAAGTCATTATACGAAATTGCTTAAAAAAATTGACTATATTCACATAAAGAGCTGCAAATTTTGAAATAAAACAGTTATTGTTAAATCTGAAGATCAAAACACTTCTACTGTTATGCAGAACATAAGCAAAAAAATTCAGCTAATTATTTTCAAAACTTTTGAGCAATCGCGTCCCCGTTTGAGTTTTTCGAAAAAAACGTTTCGCGTAAAACGCATTTCAAAGTTTGACATCTTGTGTAAAGTTATGGCATTTGCTTTTACTAAAACGCTTGTAGTTTTTGTTCTAGTGGAGGGAAAATAAAGTACTTGGTATTGTTATTATTATTTTAGTTAATAAAATGGTCTATAAAATAAAAATCATAAAAAGTTTGCCAATTTTTGAAAAAATCATGGTTTTAGGGTAGTCGGATACCTTAAAGGAATTTGAAAAAAATGCGATTTGTATTATAACATATTAGCTCTTTTTTTAATTTAATGCTTTACTGCTAAAACTTAAAGTATTCTTACATGAAGATAAATTATAATTTTGTTAAATAAAATATGGCACTCACACTCTCTTGAAATCATAAACTTTGTTATACTGTCTATAACAATATAAAGTTACTAAATTCAAAAAAATAAAATTTAGCTAGAAACATCTAAAGTCACTGTTTTCTAACAAATTGTATGTTATATTTTTAAAGTAACCTTTTTTATGATCATATTCTTTTAAAATGTGTTTGTTCACTATAAGAGACAAATCATTAAAAACCCGATATTCCGTTTCCATTATAAGGATACAATTTCTTTTTTGTCTAACTTAATGAGTAATGGGACAGTCAAATTAGTTTTTTCTTTAGTGTTAACAAATTAAAAAATAATGATTTAAAAAGAAAAGGCACAGTACTCTATAGTCTTACGAGCAAAAGTTTTAGAAAGAAACGTGTTTTTATTATTAACAACCATAATTGCAGAATGTCAAAGTATACATATAAGTTACAAAACTAAAACTTAAAAACAAGAATTTCTTATTTTCAGTTACTGAAAAAATCTATCTATAAGAAGTTGAATGGGTCATTACAAGATTACTTTTAATATATTTAAAGAACATTTTATGTGCCTAATTAGTTGTTATTTTTTTCCTTTCCTGTAAACGTAATTAACCATGAAATCTATTACAATCATTTTGTTAGCCATACATTATTTTAAGTACTTTTTAATGGATGAAGACGTTATCTATCTTCATTTCGTATTGAGCTTCGTTCATGTGAAATATTGAGAAGAAATTTCTAGCACTCTAAGGAAAAAAAGAACTATACATTTAAATTGTAAACTATATATTATTTTAAAATTTTATTGTGATAAGTAATGTAATTTATGAACTAAAAATCGTAAAATGTCACTATTATATCGTTATTTAACTTTATCAAGCAGTCTAGTTATTTAAATAAAACTTTGTTTTATAAGAAAAAAATAAAAATTTCAAAAGCAAGATTTTTACAATGATTGATTCTAAACAAAATTCAATAATCAAATAAAATTGTAATAAAAATTAGGAATAATCTTCAAATAAGAAACTAGATAAAGCTTAAATTTTCTCATTCAGAGATAGACGTGACATCGTAAGACTATATATCGCCATTTAGTAGGTAAATCATTTAAAAATTTATTGTTAAAAAATCTAAAACGAATTTCCAAAGAAATGTTTCCTAAGTGCATATCATCACCTTTTAGGTTAGTGTGCCAAATTTCAACCAGCTGAGTTGCTCAGCTTTGGAGCTACATCACAGACACGCAAAAACACAGGCAAAAGATCTTCTTTTTAAAAGCCTTTATTTAACATGTAATGTAAAATCTTCGGGTGGAATTTTGCAACTAAATTTTGAAGCTGATGTCTTCAACCAATTGAGCTGAAATTTTTTATACTCGTTTAGTTTGGATGACATTGCATGTTGTGACGATTTATATTCCGGTATTGACCTAGTTACTCTAACGATCTTATTAAGGTGTTAAGGCGAGCATGTTTACAATCACAAAGAATCTGGGTGGTGTTGCTCAGATGGTAGAGCGCTCGCTTTGCATGCGGAAGAACGGGGATCGATACCCCGCGCTTTCAACTAGTATTTACTCGGGAAAAATATTTTTGAGATTTGCTTGATTTGTACAACGGGATATTTTACAATACTTCCACTCAGCATTCGTTCAAAGTATGTTATATTTTTACTGTTCTAGAGGGCACAGTAAGAAAAGCAGGTCTATCAAGCTATTTCTATTTACTTTGAAACATTCTATGATATATATTTACTCGATTCTAGTTTCTCCCGTAACACTTTTAATTGACCTAATCACTATAACGAACTTGTTCAGGTGTTAAGGTGAGCATGTATACAATAACAAAGAAGAACGGGGGCGTAGCTCAAAAAGTAGAGTGCTCGCTTAGCATGCGAAAGGTACGGGGATTGATTTTCCGAGCCTCCAATTATTATTGCTTCGTGTAAAATACTTTTGACATTTGTTTGATTTGTACAACAAGATGTTTTACACTTCTTCTACTCAGCATACGTACAAAGTACGCTACATTTTTACACACATACAAGCTTTTATTTAACTTGCAATGTAAAATGTTCGGGTGGGGTCTTGCAACTCAATTTTGAAGCTGATGTATTGAACCGATTGAGTTGAAATTTTGAATACAAGTTTAGTTTAGATGAAAACACATGTTTCGATCATTTATATTCCGATATCACAATTAGTTAAAAAGACTAGCTACATGACCCAGCGTTGCACGGGCATTCTCTACTTTTATAAAATTTTCTCTTTCCTTCAAAAAAAATCAGCAAACCTAAGACTCTTTTTCAAAAAGAATTCTACCCCTCCTCCTCCTCCGTTTAGCCCTGCGTTGCTCGGGTCTTTACCAAGTGTATAAATTAAAATTCCCTGTTTCAAAATTTTTTTCACTACTTTGCTTTTTCAGACATGTTTATACCTTACCCCTTACCCCCAGCGTTGCACGAACATTTTTAAATGCATAACGTATTGTCACGGAAAATGAATTATAGTGCAAATGAAATTAAAAAAAAGGCTTGGACATTTTATTTTTTAAATCACTAACTGTAAAAATCAAAGTTTTTTAAAACTCATTTTCATATAAACACATTGATATCGATTGATTGTAGAAAAAATCATAAAATACTTAAAGTATCGTTGTTTTGTTAAAAAAATAAAAGTACTGTTTCTCGTGACGAAATAAATTATCTTTCCAATTACAAAATTGCTTGTGAAGTTATAAATGCGCGAATAAAATTTTGAATATTTCTTTAAAAACTCATAAAAACTAAGCGATGATGTTGTTTTGAACCCGTATACAAAATTTACTAAACCAGCGCTCTAAGCCACCAATCCTTGATATCTTCGGAAAAAGAATCGTTGAAATGAAAGGAAGAGATATTCAATTTCACATTGCGTTATTTGTTAAAGTTTAAATTTTTTTCGGGCTTCATTTTTAAGTTAATGCCTTCAAACTTCATATATCGAATACAAACAACGGTAATTTTTAAACAAAAACTGTAAAAAAAGGTAATGCTTAAATATTTCTCGCAAAAAGGGAAATATGAAAAACACAATTTTTTGAAATCGTACATTTTAAGCAATTTTTTTCAATCTTTGTACATATTACAGATAATATTATTTTACACGAGAAAAAATGTTTCATGAGATTATTTTTATAAATAAAGAAGCTATTAAGTGTTTAAATAAAAATTTGAGTATTTTTAGAAAAGTCGTACAAAAATGTTTTTGACATTTTATTTTTTAAATGATTGATTCTAAAAGAGAATGGCATGAATTTTTTTAGTGTAAAATATCGTTTCATTAACGTAAAAGAAAATGCAATCGGAACGATTTAGAAATCATTTTCATAAAAATGTATCGATTTTGACTGATTTTAGAAAAGTTGTAAAAAATAGAAAATAACATTTTTTAAAAATGGTTTATGTCGTATTTTGGCGAAGTGAATAATCTTTCCAATTCTGTAATTATTTTTAGTATGAGGCTTATAAAATATTATATCGTGTTTTAAAAACATCTGGGATAAAAAAAAAGGTCGGAAAATTGGAACTTCGCTGCCTGGTAGGCAAAAAATGGCAATAATTATGCGTTTAAAGGTTTTTAATTAACATCTTTTTTAATTAATTGCACTTCTGGAATATAAATTGTAAAAATAGATTCCTTGGATCATTCCCAATCTTTTGGTACCTTCGGCGAATTTTCTTCGTGGGGATCTTGAAAGATTACACCTTGTCATATAAACGTAAACGTTTGATTACCTTCGTATTTTAATAATATAGCTATCAATTAAAGTAATTTTTTCGGGTGGAATCTTTCAAACGGTATAATTATTTTTTAAAAATAATGATATTTTCTGTTTTTTTACAATGTTTTCTAAAATGAGTCAAAATTGATGCGTTATCAGGAAAAGGATTTTTGCTAAATTTTTCCTTATGATTTTTTGCGTGTTATTGGATCGATATTCTGCATTAAGTTCAGGCATTTCTCTTTTAGAATCAGCCATTTAAAAATAAAATACCTAAAACTTTTTTTTTACGATTTTTCAAAAAGTACATAATTTTTTTAAAAAACGTTAAAAAAATGTCGTCATTTTTAAATATAATGGCACGAAAATATTTTTTTCGTTTGTAGATATGTATTGTCCAAATTCTACACAAAAATTGAAAAAAAAATTGTTTAACCTTACCGATTTAAAAAATAAATTGTGTTTTTCGTTTTTTATATCATATTACAATAAAAGCAAAAAAAAGAGTTTTAATATTTTAATTAATTTTGCTTTGTCCAATGCTATTTTGTTTATTCAGTGTTTATCTCCCCTTTCCATTATCATCTTGTTGCCCGAGTGAAATATTTATTATATATATGTGACCTTGCGGGAAAAAAGGTTGAGTACCCCTTAGCTGGATTGTTCAAAATTAACTGTCAAACGACCTTGCAACAATAATACGTTACATGAGATTTTAACAGACTGATAAACTTCTTTCCAGTGATAATTAAAAAGTAAAAAATAAATTAAAAGTAAAAAAAACTTTTTTAAAAACAATATTATTGCAAACAAGTATTCTTTTTAGAGCATTTAAATAAAAGCTTGTTTTAAAAAAAAGTCTTTTTTCTTTTAATTTATGTTAGTATAGACTGCATTACATATATATATATATATATAAAGTTTGCTTTCAAATAGATGAACACAATTTTCTTCCATCTTTCAATATACTTAAAAACAGCGAAAGTCATGATAAATATTTACTTTAACGTTCTTGTAGATTACTTTAAAAAAAAAATTTTTTGTGATGTCTGCAAAAATTTTAATTATTTCTATAAACATTGAAAAGTCTTTTAATCTGCAAATTGCAAAACCGAGCCTGCATAATAACAATTATGCTGACTACATAATTTCAATTTAGAAGGTGACTTTAAAAATTTTGTTAAATACTTTGTTTCGAGATTTATCATAGAAAAAACATGTAGGTGTAATTTGGTTGTAAAATCACTTTTATTTCATGTAAAATTTGAGTATTTTTTTATCCGCAGCATAGAAAAAATACCATAATCAACTATTTAAATTAGAGTTAATTATTTGTTTTTGGATTAACAATTTGATTCAATGACTTTTCGTAAACTTTTCTAATTTATTTATAGTTTAGGTACTTAAAACTTAAATACATGTATTAGTAATTTGATTGCGAAAAAGAAATGAACTTCTTAGTTTTACCAAAGAAAAGTAGCAAAACTGTTAAACAATGTAAATAATTAAATTTCTTATTTTGAATTAAAGTTTCTTAAAACTTTTTACTTTAATTAGAGCTTGATAGAGAAAGCCTTGAGGGTAGACACTCAAATCTTAATTGAAGAACAGATTACTCTACAAATTAAACAAACAATTACTGGAAACTTCTTAAGTGTGCAATGTTACTGATAAGCAATTGAGATTATTTAAAGAAAATTACTTAGACATAGCGGATGTTAATGTAGAATTTCAGAATTTTCTTTTATTCTTATTTTGCATTCAGATTATTGCAAGGATTTTAGTAGTTACTTTAGTTTTGTCATAATTATGAAATTATAATGGAGTAATACCATGTATTTTATAATAAGACCTTTTCTCATACATACGAATATATGATACGGGATTTTTGCAACTTTAACTAATAAGTACTTTCATGACAGATCTATGAATAATAAAGGGAAAAAAAAGATGCCGAAAATATTTACTTTCATGAAAAAATAAAAACATGTCACATATAAAAGAGGATTACTATATTTAATTATTTGAATTTAAAAAATTAAAGAGAACGCTCTGAACATAGTAACATATTTATAAAAAAAATGTGTGCAATTTATATATATAAATCTATTTTATACCTACATGATTAGAATTCACCTACATGAAAGAATATATCTAAGTATAATAACTGTAAACTCAAGAAAAATTTGAATCAGGCATATTACATTCTGTTCTTTTAAGTATAAAATTTTTGTTTTAATATATTGTGTTTTAATATATTGCGTTTTTTGTTGTTGTTTTTTTTTTTAAACATCATTTGTGGGCATTGAAGAAAAGAAACTTAGGCCAAAATAACCCATAAAATCAAAGTTACATAGCATATCAGAGCCTAGAAAATCAATACAATTAGAATTTGATTTATTTTTGTTTCTCTCATTATTAAAGCAAATGTACAAGGCATTATGTTTCATTATCATCAGGCAAGGTATGTCCACAACATTACAGACCTAATACTTGGAATTCCAGTCGTAATCACAAAATAGTTGCTCGATACAAAATTCTACTACCAAGTAACAGAAATATTAAGGGAGCAAAAATAAATAACCATTTAACAAATAGTAATATCTTTGTCTCTAAATTATATAACTTTTACATTTGAAATTATTGTTCATGTAGAATACAAATCAATAAAATTATAATTATGATAAAAACTTAAATTCTGAGTAACTTTTGCAATAAGATGCTACGATCAAGCTTACATATAAAATAAGTAAAATAAGGGCTTGCTTGCATCAAAGAGCACATTGTACAGCTAGAAGCATCTT